AGGTGCTCAGGCATGAAACTGTGCTGCTCAAACACTATACTTTTCCGCTCACCCTGAAAAAAAATTAGAGGGAACATTGCCGTCCCTGCTGCCATATTGGCCGAGGCAGTACGCAGGACCAAAGCCCCCCCTCTGTTCCCCTCCACGCCCGTGCGCACTCTCCCCCCTCCCCGATTCCCCACACTGTCCACCGGGTCAGCCCCAGACATCGACAGACACAGCGGCAGGAACCTCCGCAGGCTTGCTTTGCTGAAAACGGGGTGACTGGCACTAGCTACCATCCGTCGCCCAGTGGTTCAACAAAACAAGTCTGGGGAGGTCATTTGCGGGTGGCCAGTTCTAGCCGCACCTTAGAGGGAGTGTTCCCGGAAGTTAATTACTTCTGGGTTTACTGACCAACCGGTCCGTAAGGACCGGTAGGAACCCACCCCTGTGACAAACTGTTAGTCAATTCCTGTCATGACCAACAAATCAACATTCAGTTGTTCTGAAAAGTAGATCCTGCAACTTTGTGAAAATATTAGGAAAATACCTTTAAGAATGCAAATATGTTGTTGGTATTGTCTCTCTCCCCACCCCCTGCCCCTTCCCTGCATCTTTGCGATGTACTTCTCTCACCCTCCTCTTTTTTTTTCCTAGACAAAGAAGATGTGGAAGTAACAAGAATCAATGTGGAAGAGTATGGTTTCTAAAGAGACAAACTACCCTGGTGCCTGAATGTTTATAGCAGCTCTTCAGGACAGAAAATGCAAAACTACAGAGACAGTGATTAATTTAATATTGCAGCCATGGAAGACAACTCAAGCTTTTGGGACAGCTTGGTATTTTCACACCCAATCTGCATGAACTGGAAGTCAGAAACCGAAGGATCGATCTATCATTTATCTAGCATTTTGTTTGTGGTTGGCTTTATGGGCGGAAGTGGCTTTTTTGGCCTGCTCTATATTTTCTTTCTGCTGGGGCTGGGCTTTCTCTGCTCATCTGTGTGGTCATGGCTGGATGTCTGTGCAGCTGATATTTTCTCATGGAATTTTATCCTGTTTGTGATCTGCTTCGTACAGTTTATTTATGTAACCTACCAAATACGGAGTGTTGCTTTTGACAAAGAATTTCAGGAGCTTTACAATGCTTTGTTCCAGCCTTTGGGGATCTCCTTGCCTGTTTTTAGAAATATTGTCCTTTGCTGTGGTGGAGAAGTTATTACATTAGAGAAGGAACATTGCTATGCCATGCAAGGCAAAACTCCAATTGACAAGCTCTCCTTACTTTTGTCAGGAAGGTTTGTATTATATTTATCTCTCCTTCTTTCTTTAGAAACAAAAGGTTGAAGAATACCAGATCTTTGGCCTCCTTGGCATTGTTTGAACCTGTTTAAAATGAACGGAGTGTGTTTAATGTTTTGACAATTTAATACTAAGTGTAAACAACATTCCTAGGTCAACAAGCTACTGTAGTGGTTTAAAACAAATCAGACCATGGATATGTGAGAAAGCATTAATTGTGGCAGGATTTATCTTCTTGAGAAAAACTCCTTTTTCCTTTAGCATTGGAAAAGTTTAAGGATACTGAAAACAAAAAACTGAAGGTCCAAACTTTGGATAGGTTTCCTAGGACTTAGAATGTTGCATATTCAGTGTTTATCATTTTTTACTGGCTAATCCCTTTTAAAATTGTTATATCTGCCCTGCCAGCCCCTATTTCTGCTGTTTGTGTTGTGTTACAACTTTTGTTTAATTTGAATAATTCTCAAAACAAAAAAAATGGATTTCTTCTCAAAATATATCTGAAACTTTAAGACCAGCCCTTATTCTTGAAACATATTCTGTATGTTTCACGTGAGGGCTGTATTCATTTTAATCTCCTAAATTTCATTAAAGAGTGCTACATTGTCAAATCAGTTACTGCAGCAACATTTCATTTATCCCAATTTCATTTCTTTCTTTCATCCATGTTCTGCAACGTTGGAGAAATTACAGGTTGAATGTAAAAGTTATATTCATGTGCCCTTGTTTTGTACCAAAATCAGAGTGGGGATCATCTTTGGATTAGCTGAGTATTGAATCTTTTCAAATAATTGATTAATATTTTTTTAATTGGTTCATAAAAGAGACAAAGTAGAATAGAAGATAGACCAATAGACCTGAAATACATCTGCAAGTTTTTTAAAAAAATTCTGAATTCCCTAACCATGGCTCTGGTTAAAAAACACACTCACCTTTCCAAATTACATCATTAAAATGGAAAAAAATGTTTGGTATAGTGAAAAGTGTACATAATTTAGGTCATACACCCTGTTTTCCCGAAAATAAGACCTTACCGGATAATAAGCCCAACCGGGCTTTTGAGCTCATGCGCTAAAATAAGCCCTCCCCCCAAAATAAGCCCTCCCCAAAAATATTGCAACACAGCCATGAGGTGAACCATGCTCACCACCTCTTGCACCTCAAACATAATAAGACCTCCCCGAAAATAAGGCCAAGCCCTTATTTCAGGGGTCAAAAGAAAATAAGACCCTGAAACTTGGCACCTAGTGCAAATGATGTCCCCAACTTCACACTTTTTGTATCAAAGTGGTAAACATGAGAATATTAAGGTCAGGTTAGTTTATATGTCATAAACCCTGAAGGCTTACAATGTACCCTTACCCTGCCTATACCAGAATAAGTGTGATTTATGTATGGACAGAGACAGTAAAGATCTTTAATTTTCAAAACAGATTTGAGTTTGATGGGGTACAACTCTATTTTACAGAGTGCGTGTATGAATAAACAGGATCTGGGAGCAGTTGTGAAATATCCATAGTCCAGCCATCTGTTTCCAATAGTGGTGGGAAACATTTAACAGTTCCACAAGTTTAACAGAAGGAACTTAACTTATTTCCAATGTACAGGTAATCTGGTCGCCAAACATTGATTTTATTTAGGATGATATCTATAAACCCTCAACAAGATTACTCTATCTGAATTTGAATTATTGTAATTTCCCATTTCTTATTCTCAGAAATTCTGTGATTCTACATAATGGATAGAAAATCCTTGACAGCTTCTAGCCATTTTGATTGTTCCTCTATGGCATTTTTATCTTTCTGGCACTGCAGCGACAAGCCAGGCTTATCTCACAAAATGAATGTCTTTGAAACTGTGTAATTTTTCTTTTGCCATGATTTCTATTTTGTACCTTTGCTGTTATTGATTTCTCCCTGAGTTTGTGCTTTTCTTGAATACTTAGTGCAGGGATCCTCAAACTACAACCCGCAGAAGCCATTAATCCATAAGGAACCACAAGGCTGCCCCATCAACATTGCCTCACCTACTCATTTCCCCCCCCCCACCTTCTGAAGAGCGAGAAGGCCAAAAACGGGATGTGCAGAGGCCTCAGGAGACCAAAAATGAGCTCATTTTTGGGTGGCAGAGTGGTTCTGGAAGCCAAAAATGGGCCCGTTTTTGGTCTCCCCAGTCTCCAGAGAGGGAGGGAGACGTTCACTCTTCCCCCGAAGGCAACCACATTCCTGCTTTCCACCCCCAGGAGTATAACAAATTAATTTCATTTGTGTGTATTCTTTAATGGACTACTAAATTGGTCACACCCACCCAATCACATGACCACCCAGCCACACCCACCGTTACATGACCACCTAGCCATGCCCAGCCAGTCATATGACCACCTAGCCATCCCCACCCACCCAGTCCACCCGCCCCAACAATCTGAGGGACCGCAAATTGGCCCCCTGTTTAAAACTTTTGAGGACCCCTGGCTTACTGGATAATTTCCAAGGACATTCAAAAATATTAAGAAGATGTGACTTGGTATTGTTTTCCGGGGTTGGGGGTTGCATCAGAAATTGGCGCTCTCCATATGTTTTTCCTAGTATGAACTGAAAGTATGAATTGAAAGACTATAAATAAATGTATTTTATTTCTAAATGCATGTAGATATTAAGCATAAAAATGATGGTCCCCCAATATAAGACAAAATCTTTAATGCCACTGACATGGCATAAATTACTCAAAATTTAAACATTCTTCACTCCTGTACATAAACCTAGGCATCATTTTTCTTTTCCTTTGCTGGCACTTATTAACACAAATTGATCTGTTTTATTAGAGTTAGCGTGACGGTGGATGGGGAATTTCTGCATTATATTTTCCCTCTTCAATTTCTGGATTCACCTGAATGGGATTCACTAAGACCCACAGAAGATGGCATTTTTCAGGTAGGGAACTTCTGTGACTCTATCAGATAAAACTCTCCTTTTCTAGAACTGAACGACAGATACTCCAGGAAATACCCAATTTAGGATTAAGACCTAGCTCTAAGAATTTGTATTGACATCACTTTTTTTTTGAAGAAGGAGCCAAATACTAGGATAATTAATGAAAATGCCAGCAGAGTAAAGTATGTGAAAGTTTAAGCAAAATATTAGTTCAGTAATTTTGAAAAAGAAACACTTTCTAGGTTGGCTTTTCCACACATTTTCTTTTCTACTTGCCACTTGAATTAGCAGCTAATGCTGACAACAGAACTCATAGTTTTCTAATTAATGGAATATTCAGAATCTAGAGTGACTTGCAGTGCCAGAAAAACCAGTTTTCTAGTATTAGGGCTGCTTTAAGTTAGGACCATTTGTTTAGCAATCTTTTGAAGTTCAACAGCACTGAACAAAAGGACTTAGGACCAGTGTCCAAAGTTATGGACACTGAAATGCCCCTGCAGGCACGTGATCAAAATTGAGTGCTTGTTAGCCTACTCATACTTAGTACTACAGGGGTGCTTCAACTCCACCCCTATTTACCACCCTCCCCATCTACGCCCTTTTGGCCCTGCCTTACATGTCACACTAGCTGACATTTGCCATCTCATTGCTTCTGTTGCTAACCAAACATGTCTGGCCTGACCTTTTGTCAAGCATTTGCTGGCCACAAAGGCTTTCTTACCAATGTTACATGTTACAGCTTTCTCACAAATGGAATGGGACAACTCACTATGGTCAACTCTGTGCAATTCCATGCATTCCATTCCACTGTTTCTTCTACATTTTGTCAATGGAAATAATGTTGAAGAAAGCGGTGGATAACATTTATTGCATTGTGTTAACCTGCACGCATTGTCCTGCAGCAAGTTGGCCATGGTGAGTTGTCCTATACCCCTCACAAAACCTGGTGAAGATGAGTTCACATTGTTTACTTGCAAAAGACCAGGGCAGGCACATCTCATGAACATCAGGAGCAAGAAGATGGTGAAGGTCAGCTGGAACCTCTTTATCAGTCTGGCCCTGATTTGAATAGCAATGCCTAATTCAAAAATGAAACGGTGAAGTTTTTTCATGGTTTCATTCCTATTTGTAGGAATGTTTGCAGAAATTTAAAATGAGTGATCATGCCTCTCTTTCCTAACAGCTATGTTGTGTCATGCAACAATAACATTTTGCTCCAATGCCATTTAACAGGTATAATGAAGCCATCTAAGATGGTGTTTAAGTTAACTGGCAGACCACTTTTCCTAATACTTATTTGGGAATAGGATAAGACTATAAGGGGAAACCTTATTGGGTATATCAGAACATGTTGATGATCATTCAGGAATTTCAAGGAAGGGGGCATTTTCTTGAGTGGTGCCTACTCTTTAGAGATTCCTCCTTCAGATGCTTACTGTAATAATATTTTCTACTTCAGTCCATTCACCTTGGTTTTGTCTGGATGAGTTTGAATATATTTTTTCATAAACCACATAGCTCTACAGTACTCCATACAGGCATCCTTTGGGGGGATTAAAATGATTGTTTTTATAAGTTTAGCTGCTGATTTTTTATTGCTTAATTTTCTTTTGTGTATATTTTTTCTTGATATGGTAAAGGAAGTGATATATAACAAGATGTATATGTAAAAATTAGTCTTCCACCTGAACCAAGTGCTCCTTTTTGCTGCTTAAGTGTGACCCCATCTGCCATTGTTGCACCATATGCTTGAGTGAAGAGCTTCCTCAGAATGTTCCTTTAGATTCAGACTCAAAAAACAACTTGGTCTGTGAAGACTTTGGCACCCGGCCTTAGTTCCATGCCATTCTGCCTAGGGTGGGAAATGTCCACTGACAGCACTTGTTATTGGACATGAGGGAAAAGTAAGGGAGCCAAGGAAAATTTAAAACATTTACCAATGGAAAAAACAAAGCATGGAATAAAAATCTAAACAATTTTTTTCAGTACCTAGGGAGTATTTTGCTAATAATTTTCTGTATATGATCATAAGGAATTTCTATAATGCTGGATGAAATAACTAAATCCATGTATATGAAACGGGAAAAATTGCATGTGTCTTTTCTTTCTTCCTTGCTTGCATTTCCTTCCCCTTTCTCTTTTGCTTTCATGTTTTGGATTTTTAGCTCCTTATGTCAGTGGCTTGTCCTCTGGTAGCAGTGTAAGTAGAACAAACACAATAAACCTTCATTTTAATGGCCCATTTGAGGAGAAGAGCTGTCTGCAAAATTCAGCATGAATTCTGTGTTTACCAGAAGTACTGTTCTTTTAATAGCATGCCCGAATTAAGGTTATACCTCTTCTGGATAAACTTGTCTTTGAAAAAGAAATACAATAAAGATAGGTAGCTTTTGCACTTGGATAACATATCCAGTAAGAGAAATATGTTTGTAGCAAAGAATGCTATAAATGGAGAAGAGCTAGAATGAAAATCAGAAATAAACTATTTTGCAATTTTAATTGATAAGACAATAAAAGAAAAGAAAAGGAATTGTCTTTATTTTTGTTTTGTTTTTAATTTGGGTTTTTTTTAAACACAATGATAAAAATATCAATTTCTCTTTTTTCCCTTCCCCATATTCGGGAATATGTCTTTCAGGTAACCCTTACGGCTGAAACAGATTGTCATTATGTGGCATGGAGGAGAAAAAAACTATATTTACTCTTTGCAAAACACCGATTCATCTCACGTCTGTTTTCAATCCTGATTGGAAATGATATTGCTGATAAACTCTATGCATTGAACGACAGAGTGAGCCAAGGGAAAGGATTTCGATATGATATTCGGCTACCAAATTACTATCATGTATCAGCACCCAACACACCCCAAAAAAAATCTGCACACCATTTTCAGAACAATTCAAGAAAACAGTAAAATTAAAGACAATATACCTCTGACAACAAAATGACATACTTTTGCCTTCTTACCACCATTAAATGGTGAAACCATACTATGATGGTATCATGTGAAGACTCTCAAAAAGGAAACTTTTAAAATAAAAATCATTTTCTTTCCTAGCAGATAATCTAGTGGGGCGCTTCACAGTGTTTAGAACCAGCAGATTGTACACATAGATTGTGTGTTATGCAGATTCACTTATGTTGACTTGTTCTGTTAATCTTATTACTTTGGGAGAATAGGGGCAGATATGAATCATCATTTGATAACAACTTCTTGTAATTGTATTTTTTTTCAAAAACACCATTTGCATAGAACTTTTCGTCCTGCTTATTAAGATCTTGTCATCATAAATTATGCAAGCGATTTTATCATAAAGAAGAGCAACAAGCAGGCCATCTTTTCAAAAGAACCTTGGTTCACTTGTGCATAATTACAATGCATAAACTTGGCCTACAGATTTACAGTAATTACCTATGTGACAAATAATTGAACAACCTGTGATGCTGAAAGAAGACTTGGCGTTTTCTTCCTTTCTATCATAAACTGATGCTTTTGGATGTACAACAAAGGACAAAAATATTACTATTTAGAATTCAAAAAGTGCATCAATCACTTTAAATGTTGCAATTTATGTAGCATAAAAATGTTACATTATTTAAATATCACAGAAGGCAGCTACAGTATCTTGATGGATGGGGACTACGGTATATATTTTAAGACCGGTGGAAATGCTATGGGAAAGGAATTATTTCTTAAAGCGCAAATATGGGGGGGGGGGGGAGTTTGTCTTCTCGTCAAAAAGAAATGGAGAGTTTCCAAGCACTCTTAAACTAATGCCACTCCAGTGAACTGAAACAAAGGCAATAATTGCACCAACGACTATATAAAAACTCAAACTCACATGTATACAAACAATCAGTCTCCTTTCCTTTGTTCCAACATATCACACTAACCTCAGAAACATGGAAAACTATCTAGAAATCCTATAAATCACAATATTACTTGTATCAGAAGAGTTTGAAATTTATAACGGGAATCATGAGCATGTTTTTCATCTCAGATTTTGAATCTAGGCAATAGAACTGTATTTTTCAAGAGGTTATCACATAATAAAATTCTGTTATTCTAGAAAGATCTAGTGTTGATAATCCCAGGTATTGACAGACAAGCACTCAAATTGAAAGGTTATGGTAACTGATTTAAAATATTCCTCCTCATAACTTAAAAATTCTATATTTGTTGAAAGCTACTGGTCCAACAAGAAAGAAGAGCACAGGAGATAAGAACTTGAAGTGTACATAAAAACATAAGCAGTGCCTCTAGATCAAACTAACCATCTAGTCCAGCAGTCTATTTTCACAGTGGCCAAGCCACTGCACAAGAAAGTCCATTAGTCTTCCTGTAGGTAGCCTCAACATAGCCATGCTGCTACCAAAGCTAATGGCCATTAATCCCGTGAACTTCCATGAATTGGTCCAATCTTTTGAGGCAAGCCAGGCAGATTGTCAGCGCATCTCACTGAAGCAAATTCCAAATTATGCTTTATATTTTTTAAAAAAACAACTTCTGATTCTTTCAGGACTCAGTTTGAGTGAATTCTGGTTCTAGAATTTGGGGTAAGGGAAAATAGCTTCTTGTCTACTTCATCTGCACCATGCATAATCGTGTATACCTCAAATTGTGTTGCCTCAACTGGGACCAAAAATACCAGCTGGGATTTTAGATTTATTCAAAGTTTGGGGAGTATTATCAAGTCCTTCATTTTTCATAAGTTGGCCAATGTTGATTTTTTTTTTAGACAGCAATACTAGTTTATTATGCCATTTTAAATGCAAAATCAACTAGAAAAATAATACAGTAACAATTGCTAACACATGGCCATTATATAGAAGATGTTTAATCTTACCCATTTTTCAAGATTGAGTAATGTCTTTGAGCCTGGTTGTTTTTTTGCAGACATTTCATTACCCAAACGTAACATCATCAGTGCTAGTACAAAGATTAAAGAGCACCAAGGACCCCTAATTTTAACCCTGAGTTATAAATATTCTCCTTTATTAACATTGGCTGTATTGTATAATCTGGGAATTAACCTTTCTTTAAAGGAAGTACACATTATTTTCTTTCGCACTAACTGATATAAAGCTTCTGTATTTTTAGGAATAGTATAAGAAAAATGTATAATTTGCTCCTCAAAGTACAACCTATATTATAATGTTGTTTCTGTGGAGGGGTCAATTAGGACAAATGCCATTATTTTTAAAATGGTGTTCAAATCCCAGAAAGATTTGAGCAATAGATTTTGAACTCTATGCTGTGAAAGATTCCAGAATCTACTTATCTGGCACTTTGCTTGATCTATCTGATTCTTGGTTAACCACACATTTGTGTTTTCCATTTATTTTATTTAGCAGAGTAGTAATGGTGTGTTACTTTTCTGTTTTGGATTTATTCTGGTCTGTCACTACATTGTTTCTTTCTAGAAACAGAAATTATAGGACAATTCATTCAAACCAAATATATTAGATTCAATTAGCAGTAGTTGCAATATTGATAATAAAGAAACACAAAGAATTTGAAGTGAAATATTAGTAGACTGCTGTCTTATATTTTTGTTGCTTATACTCAGGGGAAGCTTCGAAAATGATAATTTTATATATAAAAACTTTAAAAGAATTGAAATGATTTATATTTTCTATGCTAAATGTACTTGTCTAATATTGTACAGATATGTAGTTCACAAATAATTAAATTTTAGTAGAAACATGTATTTTCTTAGCATTTCAGAATAGCTTGATCTGATGGAATGGCAGAAGATTTTATAAATAGTTTTTGGTAATTTGAAAATGCATTAAATATGTTGCAACCAGCAGGTATATTTAGTAGAAATGTATACATAAAAGCTTTTATATGTTCAGCAATCCTATAAACATTCTGCATCCACTTTATTGTCCATGCAAATACATACATATATGAGATTCTAAAATGTAATTGTTTAATTTCAAGATAAACCTTACGGTTTGTGAAGAATGTCTAATGTACTGACATTAACATCTAGCACATGTATGTAGAAGGAATCTGTAGATTTATCATGCCTATAGATCTGGAGCCATATGAACAAGGGACTGCTGCTTGTTTAGTTCCCCCCCCCCCCCAAATGTAGCAAATGTGCCTGTAAATGTGCAGGGCTGGTGGGAGGAGAGAAACATTCAGCCACAATAGTAAAGCAAAGGAGTTAAGTGAAAATATTGTTTATTCTGTGTTATTTACACACTTGGTGTTTGTATAAAGTAAATTAACATTTTCATCTTTTACTAAAGGACAACACAAAAAAGATAAACAGCATGCTCAACAAACTTATAAATGGCTACTTGGCTTTTCATTAATGAAATACAGTGATCCTTCTGTAGACAAGTTGTTATTTGTGATATTCAATGAATATTGTATTCCCTCTGATGTAGATTACCATTTTAATAGGTTACCTCCCTGCTGTTATCTTCATAAGCTTTGATAATTAATGGAAAAATAGGAATAATTACTAAATGTATATGAATAACAGATTATTATTGATGTTTATTCTAAAATACATATATCCTACTTTTTATACAAGCTTCAAAGTTTATTATTTTAATGCAAAAGGCATGATGAAAAATGCAAACAAGCAGTTACAAGAGCCGAGGTGGCGCAGTGGTTAAGTGCAGCACTGCAGGCTACTTCAGCTGACTGCAGTTCTGCAGTTCGGCTGTTCAAATTCACCGGCTCAGGGTTGACTCAGCCTTCCATCCTTCCGAGGTGGGTAAAATGAGGACCCGGATTGTTGTTGGGGGCAATATGCTGACTCTGTAAACCGCTTAGAGAGGGCTGAAAGCCCTATGAAGCGGTATGTAAGTCTAACTGCTATTGCTAGTTATGGTAAAATACATTTAGGGGAATCTGCGCACAGGAAGAATATGAAAAATCTAGATTTTGTTATATAAACAATTTAGAGAGATATGGGAGGAAAGTATAATAACAAAGGGTGTATCCGTCAATCAAGATCTGGTCTGAATTCAAAATATGAAAAGCATGACTCAGTTTGATTTGAATCTATTAGAAGACAATATATGTAACTTAGAGTTGAGCTATGAGTCTTTGATGCTCTCTGAGCTCGTTTGCTTGCAGGCATTTCATTACCCAACTAGATAACAACTAAAGTGTGAATGAGTGTGGGGCTTGTGCCATGTTTATATACAGCAGATACCCTACAACTTCTATGGAGCAGATTTGAATTTTTAGAGCAGGGGTGTCAAAGTAACATCATCATGGCGGTGTCACATGATGTATTGGGACTTTCTCCCTTTTGCTAAAACGGGTGTGGGTGTGGCCAGCACGGGACACATCTGGCCCAAGGGGCAGGAGTTTGACAGCCCTGTATTAGAGTTTCAGTTCAGTAAAGATAATCTATAAAGGATAACACTGAAGGTCTACAGCTGGTTCATTCTAAGGTCAAATAGGATCAATGTAACAGGATAGTTATGGCCAGTTTAAAGAAAATTAATGCTTCAACTGGATAGATTCTGGGATTTCTTATGTGCTATTTTTTTTTAAATATCCTGTAATCTTCCAAGGAAGAGATCGACTTACAACCACAATTGAGCCCAAGATTTCTGTTGTTAAATGAGACATTTGTAAAGTGATTTTTGCCCCATTTTACAATCTTCCTTGCCACAGCTGTTAAGTGAATCACTGCAGTTAATAAATTAGTAACCTTGTTAAGTAAATCTGGCTTCCCCATTGATTTTTTGCTTATCAGAAGGTTGCAAAAAGTGATCACATGACCTTGGGACGCAGTAACAGTCATAAGAATGAACCAGTTGCCAAGCATCTGAATTTTGATCACAGGAACATGGGGATGGTGCAAAGGTCATAACTCGGAAAAACAGTCATAAGTCACATTTTCAGTGCTGTTGTAACTTTGAATAGTCACTAAATGA